ATATATATATATATATATATATATAAATTTTACAATAGCTGGCCAGCTATAATGAATAATAATATAACTGGAATGGAAGCTGTCAGATCTTCATCATGTGGTTTAGAATGCATATCACTGTATGAATTTTAATATTTTTTCTAGAAATCGGATCATAATGAAATTTTAGATGTGTGTACTAAAAAATAGGGCGCACAATTAAAAAAATATATAAAAAATATTTCCCAAAATATAAAATGATTGAAATACCCTTGAAAAATGATGGGGGTAATTTGGTCATTTTAATTATTGAAGCTAATTTTTTATATTTTTATATGATGCGCAATAGTGTTAGGTACATACACCCAAAATTTCATCTTAACCAGATTTATAGGAAAAAATTAAAATGCATATGGTGATATACATTCTGAACTACATGATGAAGATCTGACGGCTGGGATTCCACTTGTATTACTATTCATTATAGCTGCCCAGCTATTGTTAGTTTTTTCTATATATATATATATAGACCATTTTTTATTGGTACAAGGAGGTCACAATCATATTTAGCCATTGAATGTGAAATCCAATAGATTGAAGTATGTCACAACATTCAAGAAATTTTATTTGGACTTTGCGCACAATCAATGATACATTCTCAACCACCTAATTTCACCTCCAACAGTCATTTGTGACCTTGCATCAAAAGTAAATGGTTTTATTGTATATATTTTCATGTGTGTGTGTGTGTGTGTATATATATATATATATATATCAAGGTCTAAAAAACGGATCGGTGACTCAGATCGGCCACCCTAAAAAACATGTCGGATAGGTGGATAAGCGATTTGGATCGGCCATTTTCAGCCTAAAAAAATTTTAAAAAAACACTATAATTTCTCAAAAATATATTTTTTTAGTTTTTTATTTTATTTTTTGAAGTTGTTAACTAATTTTTTAGGTTTCTAAAAGCAATAGTGGAAATTACATTATGGTTTTTCATTATTGTGTAAAAAAATATGTAAATTCTGATAACCTGTTTTGTGTTGAGTATTTGTTGTCTATTAAATTCATTTTATAATCAAAATAAAATTTAAAATGGAACATGACAATGAAATGAATCTCTCTAACTCAATTTATTTATTCTATTATTGTATTAACTTAGGAGTTATGACTTTTGAAAGAAGCTTTATGGATTTAGTGGAATTATTCGTTTGTACTACTTAGTAGAGAGAGAATTTTTGTAGAATTAATTTTAGTGGAACTATTAATGAAACAAATATTGAAGAGAGTGGTTGTTAGTAAAGATCATTAAAAAAAAAAGAGAGGTTGTTAGTAGAGAGGTTGTTAGGAGAGAGAGAAGTTGTTAGTAGAGAGAGAGTTGTTAGTAGAGATCATTCAAAAAACAGAGAGGTTGTTAGTAGAGAGAGAGAGAGGTTGTTCGGAGAGAGAGAGTTGTTAATAGAGAGAGAGAGTTAGTAGAGAGACAGAGATGCCTAGGTTGGGAGGAGGGAAGAGAGAGATGCTACACTTGGGAGGGGGAGGAGAGAAAGAGAGACACGGGACTATTGGGGCAACCTAGGCATAAAAGGAGGAAGAGCTTGTGGTGAGGTGAGAAACATTTATCCCCCATCGAAGATAATAAAACCCTCAAGCTCCGTCGCTTGATGTGTACTTTATTGAGCACAAGCTCTTGGGTGACATGTGGCCATTTGAGAGTGGTTGGGGTCCACCAATAGGTGGTCCTTTTATATGAATTTGAAAAAAAGGGTGGGCCACCACCCTTCATTTTTACAAAGTCAAACACTGACAAAACTGGATAGAGTCGGCCGGTCTTTTAGAGAACCGGTATGGATCGGTCTGGACCGGCCGGATCAAAAGGGGGATACAGCCGTATCCCAATATATTACGGGATCCGGAATGGTTACGACGATTCTCGATCCGAATCGAGTGATTCCGATCCGGATCACCGAATTTTCAAACACTAATATATATATATATATATATATATATATATATATACAGATAGGTTACGACGTATCTACTACTACCGTATACTGGTGTAGTTCTAGTACGTACCGGTACTACGTACCGTAACTTTACTAAACTAACTAATA